CAACTTAGGTATCATTTTCTCTTGAATCTAACTATGTGCCCCTCCCCCCCACAGCCCCAGCGCTCCAGATTCTGCTGTCACCTCACTAAACACATCATATGATAACTGCAGGCTTAGGTCCCCTCTCTCACTCTGCTGTAAGCTCCCCAAGAGCAAGAACCTCCTACCTCAGTGGCCACTCCAGAACACGGCCCAGTACCCAGCAGAGCGGCCCACAAACGTTCATTCTATAAATAATCGATGACCCCTCCTTAGACACACAACACCCCAACCGGTCAAAGACTGAAAGCACTTTTAAGAACCTACTTTGTATAGGTTCTTACAAGAACCAATAAACATAAACCTTTGGGGCTTTTTCCCCCCACACTTTTCTAATTATTCTTGGTCACATAAAATCAGTAGGAGAGTTGGCTGAAAGGACTGTTTAGGAAGAGCATGCCCCTGGGTCAGAAAGCTTCGCCACTCTTGTTCCTGGAGGGCTCATGAAACCTAAACCTCTAACTAGACTCATCCCCACTGCCAAAATGCAGCCACATCAGGTATGAGGCTGGGGAAGGGTGTTAAAAACCACATCAATGTCCCACAGAAAATCCAAACAAGAAGCCTCCCAGGATCAGCCCAAGCTATGGGAGACGGAAATTTTGGGGTGCCAGAATTATAGATTGTGTGATGACTGGGGTATTTAACCATAGTATATCTATTCTGAAAAGTCGTTTTCTTACCTTTAGGGATATAACAATGCACAAGCTCTCCTTTCTAAAGCAGTTTCATTAGAAAATATTCTTATTTTTGGTTTTCATATCAACAGATCATGTGCCCTGACTTTTATTTGGGGGAACACTGGCCGCTATATTGAGGTGTGACATTTCTGATGGATTTAAAGTATAGAGACAGATGTCTCTGGATCCAATACTGTGTTTTAGAACTTGGCTATCCTCAGTACCAAGTTCTTCCTCATAGCAGCCTCAAACTGTCTGCTAAAATTTAAACCAGAGTCCATTTTCTATGACACGTCTTAAGAGAATGGGCCAATTATTTGTAATGACTGCAGTACAGGACCCAGTTACAAAAAATATCGACCTTCCCATTCATCTTTTGCATTGGCTAATATTTAAATAAATTCATGTTGCCCAGGTACACACTAACTCCACAATTAGAAAGGTGGCCAGGGGTGGCTAGGATGCACGGCCCAAGGAAACTGATTTAGGCTTCAACACTGGAGTTGGATAACCCATCAAAAAGTTTATTACATTTGGCTTGAGTAGAATGAAGAACTGAGAAAGTCATTTCCTCTTGCTCTTTCCTCTATGGAAAGGAGAAACAGCTGGCTCTCCTTGTAAGAACGTAGCCTCACCCAAACTTCAAGTCCAAGCACACTCTTTGAGGAGCCGGTCCCAGACTCTCCGGTTCAAAGTGAGCTCACCTCATCCAAACTGCTGGAGAAGTCTTTATACAGTGCCGTGCATGGAGCAATTCATCACCTGCTCTGTGCTCTCATGCACAATTCTCACCCCTCATTTATCACTTTATTATTCCTAAATGTTCCCAGTGATAAGAATAATGGCTAAGATTTATTAAACATTTATTATACAACAGATCCTGTCCTAAGGATGCTTTTAGCATTATTCCAATCCTCCGAACCACCCTGAGGTTGGTGCTATTATCATTACCTTCATTTTATAAAAGAAAAAACAGACTTAGAAAGATGAAGTAACTTGCCCAAGGTCATACGCTAGCCTAATCTTGATCCTGATTCTCTGACTCCAGAAGCTGTTCTGTTAAGTTAAAAAATTCTATTGAACCTAGCACAGATCTTCTTGCAAATAGGATTGTCACAATTGATTGAAAAATGGGCCTGAGAACAACTTAGCCTTCTCTCCTTCCGTATCTTCTTTATAACATTCCTACCATCCTGTGCCCCCTTCGCCATGTGCCCCACTGGTCATGTCCCAACCCTGTTGAGATGATGTATCTATTCTGCAAACAAGTCTTCCAAAAGGAAAAAAAAAAAGAAAATCAAAACCCAAGGGTCTACTCGAATGTAACCAGAAAGCAGCCTGTCCATCTCAGTGTTTTAAATTCTGAAATAAGGGCAGCTGTGTTTATTTCCACATAGGAACTCGCAGCTGTGGGAGCACGTGCAGGTCAGCTGGCTTTATTCGACTTGGGATGTCCAGGTCACATCCATGCCTGGGACGTGCCTCATGCTCTCCGTTATACCCTGAGTCTGATGTGAAAGCTGATCTCCACTCTAGCCACTACATGAGAGACCAGAAAACAGAGGTGCAGAAACATGGGGAGTGAAAGCTCTGACTTTCCTAAAGCTTTGGTTTATTCTGGGCTCAATTCACATCTGAGCAAATAGTTTCAAGCCCCTATGGCATGCATTTCCCACCAGTCTAAAAAAATCAGTCAAAATAGAGAGGAACCCCTAGTGGCACCCCTAACCCTAACACTAGAGCGGGGGGCTGGGGGAGTGCCGTGCTCCTCAGGTGGGGTGTCAATCACAGGACATGATCAGAGATGGCTCACAGAGGCCTGGGGACAGGAATGATGATGGAAAAAAAGATCAGCAACCATCAGCTTAACCCTTCTCCCAACACAAAACTTCTCTCTCTGACGTTACAATATAGTGCAAAGAACAAAGGTTTTACTGTGTGCCCCTCAAATTCATATGTTGAAGCCTTAACCCCCATATGGTGAGATCTGGAGGTGGGGCCTTTGGGAGATGATTACGGTTAGATGAAGTCATGAGGGTAGGGCCTTCATGATGAGATTAGTGTCCTTATAAGAAGGGACACCAGAGATCTTGCTCTCCCCCTCGCACACACACAGGAGAGATCAAGTGAGCACACACTGAGATGGTGGCCACCTACAAGCCAGGAAGAGGGAAACTGAGCAACTGAGTTGGCCAGCACCTTGCTCTTGGACTTCCTAGTCTCCAGAACATGAAGAAACAAACTTCTGTTGTTTAAGCCGCCAAATCCGTGGTATTTGTTACGGCAGCCCACGCTAGTAACAGCTGTCTAGATCAGAGAGGAGTTCAAATCCTGACTCCACTGTTCACAGCTGTCTGACCTTGGACAAGTTATATAGTTTCTCTTATCCATAATTTTACCACTCCTAACAAAGGGCTGAGAGGAGAGTTGAACATATCGATGCAGGGGGAAGGTGCCCAGCACTTTCTGGGACTCACCCTCCAGCAGCAATGCCTCCCCACGCATGCAACAGCTGGTCCTGTAAGGGGTAGCTTGCTGGTCACGTTCAGTCCACAGATGTGTTTTGTTTGGCCTGCACCAATGTTTGGGGAAATTTGGATTATTTACCAACATTTGAAAGTCAGGAAATCTCACATAAAAATCTCAATTTCCGGTTCTTCTTGAGAAATCAGACAATATATCACTGCACCTGTGTTCTGCCAAGGTCATCCCCTTTCGATAGAGGGTGAGATTTCGCCTCTGGGCACCCCGGCCAGCTTCACACATTTAGAAGGCCTGCCTGGCACCTAAAGGCATCTGAGTTAGCAGCCCCGGGGCTAACAGGGCTGGTGACATCTGGCTTGGCCTCTACTTTTCCTAGCTGCCCACAAACAGAGCTTTTAAGTACAATTTCAGGATCAGCCTCCCGAAGTGAGGAACAATGAGCACGTTCCTGAGTCGCTGTTTTATTTATTTACACTTCTATTGTGAGCTAAAGACCTTCACTGAAAGGCCAGCATCTTAGCATTATAGTTCTTAGAGGAAAACTGAGCTCTTGCAACCTGGGGGTTGGCTGACCCAGCTTTGGCCCCAACACTCAACTTCTTGGGGCCTCAGTTTCCTCCTCTGTAAAATGAGGCTTTGGGCTAGATAATCGCTTTTGTCTCTTCCATATTTATGTAAGTATGATGTGAAATTCAAGCACATGGGGAGAAATTTAACACAACTCTGTTTACTTATGAGCTCTAAAGGTTTTAATGGAAGCAGAGCTCTTAAAACACCTCATTTACTCTTAACACGGGCCTTAACTAAATGTAAACAGGACCCGAATAATGGCCTTGTTTACCGTTCTGCCCACTCCAGGGCTGGGTCTTTAGCCTTGATGTTCTGCACTTAACACACCCAGAGAGGAATGAAGGCCAGGACATTAAAAGTGCTGATGGTTCAACCTCCTATCCGTAGGAGATTCTGTTGTTCAGGGACCTGTCTGATTTTCTGCCCTCATTTCACCAAACGCAAACCCAACCACATCCCTACCCAACCCAACCTCTGGTGCACTACGCACCTGGGTGGGCCTTCTTTTGGTTCCTTGCTCATTGCAACCACAGGACCTTTGCACATGCAGTTTCTATCACCTGGAGCCCTCTTCGCCTAATTAATTCCCACTGACACTTCAGATCACAGCACCAGCATCATTCCTGGCCTCCCTGGCAAGATCAAGTCATACTAACACATGCTTTCGTCCCGTCCACTGTGTTGTAGCAGCTGTCACAGTCACATTTTACATTTACATGTGTGACTAAGTGACTAGTGACTACCTTCCCAATGAAAATAAATTCCAGGAGGGAAGGTTCCACTTCTGTCTTCTCCTCGTTGTCCCTCTGGTGCCTGGCCAACATGGAGACACTCAAACATTTGTTGGTAAACCACTTAGTAAAAGTATAGCAATAAAATCCCAAGCATTCTGGTTCTGGCCACCAAGCCATAGGGCCTGACATGGTGCCTAATGATTAAGCAGAGCACAATAGATGTTTACAGAATAAATGACAGCTACCACCTATCAACTCTCTACTCCTTACCCCCTAAAACATACTACATACATGAACAAACGGATGAACAGTCTCTGGATGAGAAGTCAACAGCCATAGCAGCAACATAACGGCTGACAGAAAAAGCAACAAGAACCCAGCAGGAAAAAGAAAACATCACAAAACTTAAGGTAAGGCTCTTGGTGGGGTAGCCCCCTCTGCCCCAGCTCAAGCCCACGGCGGGAAACAGCACCAGACCCGGCCTGCCGCATACCTGATGTTTTCATTCAGTGCATAGAGCTCGTTGCTTTGCAAGCCACCCCCTTTGAAAACGTTGATCACAGCAGTCTGGACGCTACAGGAAAAGAGAAAAAACCTGGTTAGCGAATCTGCCTTCAGGGCCATTTCAACAAGCAGCTCAGGGCCGAAGGCGGGCGGAAGGGCCAGGAAACCCGTGGCACAAACACAGCCACGTTCTCCATGCCTGGAATCTACCATTTCCTTCTCGGCGTCCTTGGAGAGGAAGGAAGACGAGCTCAAAGGACTCCAAAGTGGCCCCCGCTTTCTTGCAGGCGGGCAGGTCTTCCTCCCTCGCCTCCCTGGCAGCCCTGCTGGTGCGCAGTGACAATAAAGGGCAGGCCTTGGCATCTGCTCTCAGGAAACTGTGTGGCCGGCACCACTGGGCCTGGAAGAATCCAAAATGGCATTTACTGCAAGCAGGAGCTGACCTGAGTGGGGCTCTTTCTCCTAGGAGGCCACTGTCTTCACGGGGCAGCTTGGTGGCCTGGCGCTAACATCAAATGATAGTTCCTTGCCTTTTTAACAACATTTTCCTTACCCCTTTGCTTTTTGGTTTCCTTTACATGCCACTTCCATTCCCACTCCTGTGCGGTGTACAGGCAGTAAGAGTTAGTCCCTTGAGGGGCCACGGGGCTTAACTCCACAGGCTGCGGGACCTCAGCCCAATCTTTCAGCAAAACAGCTGCTTACAATCCTGCCTCTATCCAGGGCCCCGGGGCATTTTCTTTAAAGAACAAGAATCCATTTAACACCAAAACATTTCAGAGTTCCCACTCCATCCCCATCATCGGAGTTGTGCTTTCTGTGTCCATTCATTGAAAAAACCATACCGACCTAAACTACAAAGAATTCTGTCATGCTTTAACATAATGATGCATGTAATTTATCCAAAGAGTATCTGCATACATTTGAAAAATGGTAGCCCACAGAAGCTAAGACACAGTGCTGATTCAGTCTCCACGCACTGCCGGGTGCAGGAAAGGTGGGCTAGACACCTAACGAAACTCCCAAGCACCTGTGGCTCGCAGGTACTGATAATCTTTGGTTTATGCCACTCATTTAACTCTTCATAAATATATGTCTTCTCTTCCCAAATGGGAAGGAGGTAACTTACATGATGAGCCCACCTTCAGATACTCTGAGAGTTTAGGGTGTGACTTACGAGCATGAACAGTAACTGCAAATTCCAATCCATCTGTCCCGGGCTGGTTAACTGACTCTGACAGGCCAGAGGCTCCCAGTGATCTACTTTTTCGCTACTAAAATAAGGTCAGCTAATGGACACAGCTGGATGTAAGAAAACTTGCTCTCAATGTCATTTGCCCCCAAATCGCAGCCTTCCAGAAGCAGAGAGCCCAGGGGCAGCAGCAGCTCAGCCAGCGCCCAGATGCCCCCGCCCTGCCCTGGCCCTTGGCGGCCCTCCGCCCGCACCGGGCCACCTCCTTTACCTGTTCCAGGCTGAGCTGGAGCTCAGCTGCAGAGCCTGCCGGGTGGCTTGGAATCGGGGCAGGTCGCTGAGCACCGGGGAGCTCATGAAGCGGGGTCTAGGCCTGCGGAAGGAGCCCATCTTGTGGAACTCGACAGGCAGACTGGGAGGGAAGCCACGGGTCATAAGTCCAGGTGAGGGTTCGGCTTCGCCTCTAGGACCAGAAGGTTCTGACTGGCCAGGAAAAGGGCTTCTCCCAGGGCTGCTTCCCGCCCTCAGGCTTTCTTAAAATCACAAATGTAGCCAACACCTGAAAAGAGAGGGCAGCTTTTACTGAGAACTCCTGGTCCGAGGAGACCACATCTTAAGAGGATTTTGGCTCCGACTTTCCAGCCAAACTATCCTAAAACAACTCCCAGACCCAGCAATAGCACCCACTCCCTGAGGGTTCCCATTTGTAAGTTTTCACAGATTTGGTTTTGATTGTAACAGTGTGGTCACCCCAAAGTGGGAAGACAGTAACCATGGGGCCAGGTTGAGGCCAGTCCTGCAGAAAAATGATTTCTAAGCTGTGCGTGACTCTGGTTCCCACGTGTACCCATCAGTTAGGACACTGCCTGGGTGCCTGAAGCCCACAATATTGTGCAATAAGAGATGGCTTTTTTCTTTTTTCAGGGACAGGGTCTCACTATGTTGCCCAGGCTGGAGAGCGGTGGTATGATCATAGCTCACTGCAGCCTCCAACGCCTGGGCTCAAGCGATCCTTCCACCTTAGCCTCCTGAGTAGCTGGGATACAGGCAGGCGCCACCACACCCAGCTAATTTCTTTTTTTATTTTTTGTTGCTTAGGTTGGTCTCAAACTCCCGACCTCAAGTGATCCTCCTGCCTTGGCCTCCCAAAGTCCTGGGATTATAGGCATGAGCCCCCATTCCTGGCCAGATATGGATTTTTAAAAACTGCCTCCAGAAGAACACAAGAATTCCTCATTCTAGCACTGAAGACCTTCTTACCATGCCAGTCCATGTGTATCCCTCAGTGTCTCCCAAAATATCAGTGTCTCCTCACTCAGGCACAGACCCTGACCATCCCTTACCTGCTGTTTGTTCGTTCATTCCATTGGGACATACTCACTGAGTGTTTACTATTTATTGACCACTGTGAGCTGTGAAGCACCCAAAGATTTCTGAGTCCCTGCCCTCAAAGGACTCAGTCTATAGGGAAGATAACTGTCTATTAGTGTATTCATTGATGCAATAAATATTTATTGAGCATCTACTAAGCACAGGCACTTACTTGGGCACTGGGAGATGTAACAATGGCCCTGGAGACCATGGTGGCTCTGCCCCGTGGGGCACTGTGTCATGTCACGCTCAGTCCCTCCCCCAGGCTTCTCATCCTCCCTACTGCTCCCCTTGCCCAGAATTCTCTCCCTTTTCCTCTCTGCTTATCTAAACCCAACTTACCCTGCAGGGTGGGGCTCAAGGATATTGTTCCCTTGTGGCAGTTCCTGGGAGACTTTATGGCTTCATGGTTAAAGGCTTTGGAGGGAACCTGGGTTCGAGTCTTGGCCACTCCCAAATTGTGTGACTTTGGACACGCTGAGTCCAAAGTCCTCAGCTGTTACCAGTGCCAACCCCCCAGGAGTGGCGAGAGAAGAAATGAGACCATGGGACATGCCCAGGAGAACAGCAGAGCCGAGGGCCTCAAGGACGGGCTACTTCTGTTCAGGGGGGTCTCTTTCTGTCTTACCTGCGGACCTACAATTTCAGTCTCTTACCCTTTAGTGAATCTACCGTCTAAATGAGTGACTTAAAATGAGTTTGGGAGCTCAACGGAGTGAAGGACAGAAAGAAACACTTCCAAGGTTATAGTCACTCTTTTCTTAGCAGATTTAGCCCAGAAGTATTCTCACTGCCACCTCTCTCACCAGCTAATTCTGCTCTGTCCCAAAAACCAACGGTGAAAGAAAAAGAAATGTTCCAGCCATGAGTGGCAACCTTCAGGTGGGCAGAGGAGAAGGTCGTGCAGCTCCAGCTGTGGCATTTAAAGGAGGAAGAACTGAGGTGCCACCTCCAAATTTAACATGATGCTGTGGTCAGAGTGGAGCAATCTAGACTGCTCAGACGGGCACCAAAGAGGTCCACTGGGAGGACACAGGAGGTGCTAGAAGCTGTCTGTAGGTAACGGACACAGTAAAAATGAACTTGTAATACCAAGAGCCAAACCAAACAAGAAATGGCTTGTCCTGTCTCTTAGCTTTTTTTTAAAAAAAGGAGAGCAGACTTGTGTGCGATTTTCTTGTATGGTCTCTGCCCCTCCCCCCCATGCTCAGAATGAGCCAACAGTTAATAAAATGTATCTGTAAACGCTGGGCAAGTCATAGTAGGCCTGCTAAGTTTTCGAAGGTCTCAAAATATCAAAGTACCACTGGATCATTTGGAAAGATCTATGCAAATCAACAAATAAGGCAAAGAAGAAATAAAGCCATGCAAGCCCCTTCCAAACCCTTACACTGGCTGGCTTCGGGGTTCAACTTGCCCAGTAAAGGTCACACTACTAAGACAGGGTCCCTTTCACTGCCCTTCTTGCAATGCGCCTGCTACGTGCAATTCGCCCATGTAATTACAGGATATTAACTCCCTTTACGAGAATCTTAAACTTGGGGAGATGGGGCTGCCTCTCATTCCATGGCACCGGTACAGAGAAGTAGCAAAGTGAGCAGAACGGATTGTTCCAGGAGTTTACCTTCCACTTTCTGCCGAAAGAAACACCCACTTGCCCGGGAGGCTGGAAGACGCTGAGGATGGCGCTGGCTCCTGTTCCCTCCACTTCTCAGTTGGTGCCCCCAGGCCGCCTACTCCACTGCCTGAGTCCCCAGCAAAGCACATGACAGCCCATCCACACACACAGCCTCTCTTAAATGAGGGCAATTTTCAGCCAAGAACGATGACTGTGGCTCCCATAGCCACGAATCAACTGCAGAGTCACACACACAACAAGGAGTTGCCTCTGACTCATTCTTCACCGCCCTGATCTGCCACTCTCAATCCTGACGGGGAAGAGAATGGGAGGCTGTCTTTGTCTCCACCGTTCCTCCTTCTGGGCAGGGCCAAGAGGCCTCCCCAGAGCACCACAGGGAGGAAGCCCTTGGGAGCACGGGCAACAGTGGCCAGAAAGGAAGAACTGAAACTCCCTGGATCCACTTGCTATGGCGCTGGCCCTGCGGGCATGGGCTTGTCCTGACCCACATATGACAAATCAGAAGATGACAGGACAGACAGGGCCTCAGAGTGGGCCAGTCCAGGCCCCACTTACAGATGACAAAGTGGGGAAGAGCAGCAAGAAACTTATCCAAGGTCTCCGAGGCATAAGAGAGCCAGCACCTGGGTTCCCTGACGCCTGATTTAGAATGTTCCCCAGCCCCCACCTAGGCCATGCCGCGAACTCCTTAAAGACAGGCATCTCTGAATCCTGAAGCCTAAGCTCACTGCTTAAGATGAAGATGGGAATTAAGAAGGCATCAACTGTCTGCCTGACATGATGCCAGGCACTGTCACAATAGGTAAACTTAACCGACCCTCATGAAATGCCACTTGAAGATCAGAGAAGTTAAGTAACCTGCCCAAAGTCACACAGCTACTAAGTGGCAAATCATTGGCTGGTGCCCAGATCAGCCTAATTGCCCATCCCATCCCCACTTTGCCATGCTACCGAACTCAGCCAGAAAACTAGAACTGAAGCTACTAAGTCAGTCAGGAACGTCAGTCATGTGATTTCATACCAAAATCTCAGTCTCATGCCCCTGAGATAAATAAGCTGGCATAAGGAACTCTATGACCATATTTGATGAGGCAAGAGCAGGAGTGAGAAAGGACAGGAGAAAGCACAGGCTGCCTTAGGTAGACACTTACCCCTTAAGCTGTGTGGCCTTGAGCAAGTTACTTGACTTCTCTGAGGCTTGATCTCCTCCCATATGAAATGACCATGCTAACAGTGACTACCTCAGGGTTGTAGGAGGATTAAATGAGTAAATATTTGCAAAGCATGGAGAACAGTACCTGACAAAAAGCAAGTACTACATAAGTGCTTGTTAAACAAATAAAATAATGTTGTCATAGTTATCTCTAAATTGCCAAGCCATGACAGTAGTGGGGATATGACACCGCTTCCCTCTGCTCCTGGTGACCTCAGCAGCATCAGGGAAATAGTCCACTCGGGAGTAGGCAAGGCTTCTGAGCCCCCGTCATGGTCATGTGCATTCGAGTTTGCCTTTGCCGGCCTTATTTACTGACCCTTCACCTCTGTGTAGCATGTTCCTCAGTTGCAAAAGGTTGTTCCACACATCGTTGTGCTTCTAAATCTTTCCCCGACCCTAGAAGGCAGGTGGTACAGGGATTCTGTCACAAATTAGGAAACTGAGGCCTGAGCAGGCTAAGTGACTCAGCCAAGGCTGGAAAGCTGTCGGATCAGGGACCCACGGGTGTGCCTGCCAGGTGATTCGTGTTTTCCTTCTTTCTAAATATTTCAAAATATTTTCATTAGGAAACATACTTGAAAAGTTTATACACACACGAATGTACACTTTAAATAATAATAAGCTACTGCCTGCACGAAAAATAGACTGTTACCTTGGAAACGTTCTATTTTTTATGCAGGAAATGTGTTCCTATTTTTCGGATAATAGCATATTTTCTCATTTATTATAAAAAATGTAAACATTCACATAAGTCTGTAACATACAAAGTGAAAGGCCTCCTTCTAGTCACTTACTAGTGTGGAGAAGCTCTACCCTGTAGAACTTTCTGAGTTGACAGAAATGTCCTATATCTGTGCTGTCCAGTATGGTAGCCACTGGCCATATGTGGCTTTTGAGCACATGAAATGTGACTAGTGCAAACGAGGAACTGAACTTTCATTTTATTTCATTTTAATAGCCACATGTGTACACACACAATATTTTAACAAGAATGGATCATTTTTCTCTTAATAACACACCATAGCCATCTTACCATCTCACTACATATTGGTCTACTTTATTATTTTTAATGGTAGCCTAACTACTCCACTCTAGGGATATCTTATTTAACCAGACCCCTGTGGATGAATATTCAGGTAGTTTCCAGTTTTTTGTTATTGCAAAGAATGAGCATAGCTGCATGTCTTACGGACCACACGACCATTTTTGTAGGGTGTGTTCTCAGAAGTGGAACTGCTGGGTCAAAGGGCCCACTAATTCTTAGCTAGTTTCACTCTCTGACTCTAACGCCCACCCCCACTGCAGCCCAGAAATAGCGTTGCAGAGAAGGAGC